TGCAGCCTTCAACTCCTAGTGATGAAGTCATTGGCCCAGAATTGCCGGCATTTAAACCAGACTGGGAAATCTCCTCAAATCCAGGCTGTTTCCTTGCATGATTTAAGACCATTTAGAGAACCGGAAGTCCATAGTGAGTGTGCCACTCGGGAAATAAGTGGAGCCACACACAGAAGAACATAAGATTGATTTTGCCTGATGTCCCAAGTGGGAAGAAGAGCTATTTGCTAATGGAGCCGTCCTATTTGTAAAGAACGTTCATAATTGCAGGCAGCAGCCCCCAACGTTCACAGTTCCATTTGTATCAAGTGTAACCACCCACTTACTTTTGTTTCCCATTTCATTTACTTTGCTTGCTAACTATGAACAAGGCATAACCTTACTTCATGTTCCCTTTTTCAGTCATTCTTTGTTTTCTCCCCAAAGGACAGGAAGGAAACATGCAGCTGCGTACCACTGCACACCTGTCTTCAACCTCAGGGAAAGGATTTCTGAAGTTATTGTTAAAGCCTCATATCATGACGTGTCAATGGGACTTCTTTTTAAGCTTATTTGCAGCCATGTTTTATGTGCCTTACCGGCCTAACTACATAACCTATCTGCAAATAATTTTAAGAACTTGGGATGTTTATTATACTTTCATGATGAAAATAGTTTATAATAGTAATAGCTGACATTTACTGAGCACTTCTTAGGTGCCAGCCACTTTTCTAAGCACTTCACAACAATCTTAGGAAATAGATTCTCTTATTATCCCCATTTTGCAGTTGGGAAAACTGAGCCCCAGGGAGTAATTTACTTGTCTACAGTCACACAGCTTACAAATGGCAGAGCCAGGATTTGAACCTGGTGGCCTGGCTGTAGAACCCATTAGCATTTGTTCTCAAATTTAAGCGGGTATCCGAATTACCTGAAAGTCTTAAAACCGATTGCTGGGCCCCAACCCCAGAGTTTCTAATTCAGTAGGTCTAAGGTGGCACCATGAATTTGCATTTCTAGCAAGTTTTCCGGTGTTGCTGAAGCGCTGGTCCCAGAACCACACTTTAAGAACATCTGTTGTAATTAAAGCTCTGGTGGTGTAGTACCTAAGGCATTTGACTGCTAGCCAGAAGGCTGGCGGTTCAAACCCACCAGCCACTCCTCAGAAGGCTGGGCCATCTACTTCCGTAAAGATACCGCTTCGGAAACCCAAGGAGGGGATCACTATGAGTTGGATCCAACTTGAGGGCAATGAGTTTGGTCTGGTTTGCTATAATTCATTGCAATCATTTTCATAATTTCCCAATGGAGAGGGAAGGAAGAGCTGTGATTACATGCCAATGGCTTATCAGATTTTATGAGGGATCTACGAGAAGTTTAATGAGGGATCTAAGAGACACTTTATAAAAAGAGCCAACATTCATCGATGCTCCTCAGAAGGAAGATTGGGCAATCGACTTCCTTGAAGATCCAAAAAGTAAAACCAAACGCACTGTCGCACTGTCGTGGAGTCGACTCCACCCACAGCCACCCTCCTTGGGTTTCCGAGTCAGTATCTGGTAGCATAGTGCCTAAGGCACTTGACTCCTAACCAGAAGGCTGGCGGTTCAAACCCATCAGCCACTCCTCGGAAGGAAAGTTGGGCATTCCTACTTCCGTAGTGATACTGCCTTGGAAACCCAAGGAGGGGTCGCTATGAGTCGGGGCCGACTCGATAGCAAATAACAACAACAACAACAACAACATCACTACGGAAGTAGATTGCCCAGTCTTCATTCCGAGGAGTGGCTGGTGGGTTTGAACCACCAGCCTTCTGGATAGCAGTCATATGCCTTAGGCACTACACGACTCAGAGCTCCCTTCAAACCAAACTCACTGCTGTGGAGTTGGTCCCAACTCATAGCTACCCCTCCTTGGGTTTCCAAGGTGTTTTCGGGATTGACTCAACAGAAGTGAGTTTGGTTTGTTTTTTTTGTGTGTGTGCTAGGCACTTTTCTTGCATAATCTCACTTAATCCTCACATCAATCATGGGGAAAAGCTTTTATTTTTTTTTTCCAGTTTACAATGAGGGGCCAAATTTGGTGGGATTAGGAAACTTGATCAAGTTCGTGTGCTATACAGTAGCAATTGTGTGGTCCAAGTCAAGGACTGCTAATCCCACAGTCCTTTTGCTATACCCCAGGTTTTGCACAGAAATGCTAAGGAAATACACTGTTAAATGAAATGAACAAAACGATCTTTGGTTATTATATCAAAAGTGTAACTATATTCAATGGAAGACATTTTGACGTTTTAAAGTACCGTAATGACTTACTGGGTTTTACTATGTAACAAGAAAGTATAAAACATAGAAAAAGGAAGAAAAGTGGCCCCTTCTAGGTTGAATTTCTGGGGACATTTTGAAATTTCAAGGCAGAGGAAATTTAACAAGGACAGTGGTAACATTTAATTCTTTCTGTTGACCTTGATCTGGGAAGACTATTTCCATTTTTCAAGGTGCCAGATAGGTTGTAGGGAAACAAGGTCCTTACGCCCTGTCACGGAGAGCCACTGATCACAAAAAGTTGAAGCGAGAAAGCAGAAGGTTTATTGAGTGTAGATCCCCAAGGAGACAGTAAGAATCTCTTCTCTAAAACATCTGTCTCACAGAGCAGAGGGGTCCACAGGATTCTACAGGGAGACGGGGAGGAGGCTGAAGATCCCTCGGAGGGCCAGGAATGTCTTTGTTCTTCTCTTCTCTGGTGACTTCACACTCAGTGTCCCTCTTTCCAGGGTTGCCTTGTTTCATAGGTTATGGTTCTCAGCCGAACCCAGTCATGGAAAGGGTTATGCTTAAGAGAATATATAATTGAAAATAATAAATCTAAAGAACTCAGCATCCATAAAGAGGTTGGCTATCCTACTTACTTGAAAGCAAAAGGAGGGGAAAAAAAAGCAAATTAATCACCATGATTAATGTCTACTTTAATCATGCCAGCTAGTCTATTAAAGTTTTGTAATTTTCAGTGATGGGCCCCCTCGGCCTTCCACTTCAGCCTTCCACAAATACAGTGTTGTTGTTACGTG